AGCATTTTCTACCTCAGGATGTTCAAATGTGTTTTCATTAACACTCAAAAATATAAAATATTTTCTAATTTAATTTTCCTTCAGATGTCTTTCCCCTACGTTTTACTGAGAAGTGAGTTGTTTGACCTCCAAGCATTTGGAATGTTTTCAGATATATTTTAACACTGACCTCTAGTTTATGTTTTGGTCATAGAAAGTCTTGTTTGGTTTCAGTCCCTTGAAATTTATGGGATGTTGACAGGCAGCCAGCGTGTGGTGGAGGGAGGCAAGTCCTATTCATAGCAGCAAGGGATGCCAATCAGATGAACGTGGCTGGTGATGTCTCTGGTCTTTCAGTCCTCGCTGTTCTGTTACAACCTCCCAACTCACTCCAGCTTCTCTGCCTGCCACAGTGCTGACAACCAACGTCGGGAGTGGGGGGCAGGCCCTTCACAACCGCTTCTAACCCCATTTCACAGAGGAGCAAACCAAGCCGCAGAGAAGCAAAGGAAGTCAGCCCACGCCACACTGTGAGTAGTTGACCTTGGACTTGAACCCAGTACAAGCTGCTCACTTGGGACAGGGTCACAGATAGGCCTGCCCTGAAACTGCTTCTGGTATCGTCACAGTCGACCCCAGCCTCTCTCTGTCCTTTCTAGGTCTTCACTCTGGCCCCTGTGCCCTTTCTGGTCCCCTAAGTGTGAGTGGCAAGAGTTTGTCTGTGTTGAGTGTCTAGTGACCACGATTTAAATCCTGGCTCCTCCAGTGACCTTGGTCAAGCCACCCCTGTCCCTATGCTATGTGCTTATCTCTAAGTGGAAATTCTTTGTCTACAGCCCCTGCCATCCCTATCTCCCTTTCCTCCTTCTCACACCTTTATCTTCCCACCTTTCCTTTCCTCTCTTCCTCCAAGACCACAGCGGGGTCTCCCAGGTGAACTCGCTGTCTCTCCCTCACTGATGTCCCTCAGAAGGTCTGGGGGTAACAGGCTCCCTCTGTACCTGGGACAGTAGCTCTTTCCAGCTCTCTCTGTCTTCTTTCTTGAGAAGCTCCTCTGTGGGAGAAGCGGGTGGGTTACAGGCCAGGTCTCACACGTCCCTCAGACACCAGCCTACTCCTGCCCGGTGGGATCCACCGGGAACAGGGTAGGGTAGGACAGTCTCCAGGAGGAAGAACGTGAGCTGGCGTGGGGATCAGGGTCCAGAGAGCTGGGCTGGAACCTTGGCACTCCCTGCATGCTGTGCCCAGGCAGGCTGCCTGCCTTCTCTGAACCTTGTTTTCCACTAGCAAATGGAGGGGCCCTTTGAAGCATGGCCCTTTGGGGTGTGCTGTGGTCCTTCCAAGTATGGGAAAATAAGGCTGGGAAGGAACACTTTGTGGGGCTCAAAAAGCCTTTTGGGAAATTTGGAAATTCTACCATGTAGGAAGAAGGTCTTGCTTTGGGGTCCCTCTGCATTGGAAGGGACCCCACCCAGTCTACTAGTTTGAAGAAGGATAGGGTAAGCTAAACAAGATTCTGCTTGGTCCCAGGCTTGAGCACAAAATCTCCAGAACATCTTTGGAGCACCGACCCCTCCCCTCTGCCTGAACTTGTCAGCTGTTGACCTGATGCTCCGAAGGCCTGGCTAGATGTGGCTCATACTGGCTGCCTCTTACAGGAAGCCCTCTGGGTAGCCCTACAGTGGCCTTCTGGGTAGCTGGTCCCCTGTCACAGGCTAGCATCTTCCAACCTGGGCAGTTATAAGGGTAGTATATGCTTGTGAAAAGAATGAATGAATGAATGAGAGCAGGGAGAAGCTAGTGGTCCAAGTTAAGGCAGCCTGAGTGACCCTGGCCATCAACACTACTTCTTTGAGCTGGGATTCTCATCTTCCTTGTGTGGCCAAGGGAGGGGGCCAATGAAACAGCCACTATATGGGAGGGTCAAGGCAGAGTGGCATCTTCTCACGGTCTGGGCCAACTCCTGGACCAACAGCAATGTGAATCTATCAGACAGTGGTGTAGAGGCCCTTTCCTCCTCCGTGGGAAGGTCCCTAGCGCGGCCAGGGCTGCTGAAGGCTCATGGGGCATGGAGCTCAGGGCTGCTAAGAGGACTAGCCAGACTGCAGGGCCTTAGGGTTGCAGCCTGCACGGCCCATGTGTAGCTATGGCCATGGGGAGGGGTGGTCCCAGAGGCCCTTCACAGTCTCCTTCCATTGCCAGGCCCCGAACCCGTCCTATGGCAGCACATACCTTGAGAGGACAGGACGCCCATCACAAACAACAGACTGCGGTGTGGGAAGACCCCCGTCAGGAGCTCCGTTTCCAAGTGCTTGGCCACTGCTGGCCACGAATGCCGACAGAGGGCCAGTAAGACATTGCTGGCTGCATCTTGGTATATGTCATCTAGTTCCTGGGCCGGGGAGGAAGCGTGGTCAGGGTGAGAGGGGACAGATGGGACAGGGTGAGAGTGGCATGTACCAATCGAGCTGGGCAGTTCCGTATGTATTGCCTTTACCAAGCCATCTTTTGGATAGAACACAGGCTAAGGGAGCCTGAGATGGGCTGTCTTCTGATGCTGGACTAGAGCCTTGAACACAAGCACTGTTTTTGCTCCCCACCCCTTGCTACCCCTTTCTCTTTGCCTGGAGCTCCAATCCCACTTGCTCTATCCAAATCTTAGTCCATTTTTAAAGCCCACTCCCAGGCCCGTGTTCAGGATGTCATTCATAGGGCCTCTGGCTAAAGTCACTTTTCCCATGGAGCTTAGGCAGCTTAGGACACCATCCTCTCTAATTCTCTGTCACCATGAGTTTTGACCAGAGGTCACGTTTCTACCCCAAGACCTCGGCCTGGACAGTCAACGTGTGTAGGGCTCCACAACAGAGACCAGACAACCAGCTCCCTGTCTGCTTCACGAGGGTCATTGCCACACAAGTGTGTGCTGTGATTTGCAGAACCTGTTCCTACCCACTCAGGGTGCTGTTGGGTGGGGCTGGAGAGAGGCCAGTGCAGCTGGGCACAGCTGCCTGTATGCATTTGATGGCTGGGCAGCATCTGTAGGGGTAGATGTCTGAGGTCCCCCCTCCCACTTTCCTGTGATGCAGGAAATTGTCCTATGAAATCAATATACCACTTACAGCTTATTACAGACGCGGCTATGAGAGCCTCTTTGTTAACTCACTGGATTGAATCTGATTTTGCGATTAAAAAAAAAAAACCCACACAGAAGTCCCTCCTCTAAAACTATATTTAGGAGATTAAAAAGAGGGAGCAACAGCAATCATGTTCTGGAAGCCGGGAGCTGAAGGACAAGGGAACGGAAAACACAGGGCTATGCTAGCAGCAGAGGGCACACACTGGGCGCCATCTCCTCCATTTGGAGGGAAGGGGTGGTCCTGGCTCCCTAACCTTTGGAACTGGGCTGGCAGTGAAGAATCTGGAAGACGAGTCACACTGGGCAGAGCTCTGGATGTGACAGGGACAAAAACCACTCAACCTGCCACCCAGTCCAACGGAGAGACAGCTGCGTGGGGAAGCCAGAGGCTGAACACAAAAACGTCAGGTTAAACTCTCTGAGGGCCAGGGCGCCAGCGCAGGTGGCAAAGTACTCACTGTGGAAAGTGCAAGGCCCCGAGTTCAAGTCACAGTCCCCCACATAAAAAACAGGGTGTGGTGAGGCATGCTTGTAATCCCAATTCTAGGGAGGCAGGGAGGGGTGGATTCCTACAATTGGCTGGTCAACCTGCCTTTCCTAATCAGTGACCTCCAAGTCCCAGTGAGAGATAAGTGTTTCAAGGAACACTGTGTCCTCCTGAAGAATGCCACCCGAGGTTGACCTGTGGCCTCTAAGTCACACACATGGGCACCTGCAAACAGGTGAACATGGACTCATGCTAAACCAAGAGTAAAGACTGATGTAATCAGAACAAGAAGAGGTCGTGGTATCCCTGAATGCTACAATCAGTGCGTGGTGTGACAACAGACACCTTTTGTTTTTATCCCCGGGTCCTTGCTCACAGGCCCCTTCCCCCAAGGTAGGGCACAAAATCTAGAATTATCTTTCAGGGCCTGGGCAGCTTTCTGCTGCTGTGATAAACACCATGACCAAAGCACTTGGGGGAGGAAAGGGTTAATTTCACCTTGTAGGTTACAGTCTGCCATGGAGGAAAGCCAAAGCAGGAATTCAAGGCAGGAGCTTGAAACAGAAACCGTGGAAAAATACTGCTTATTGGCCCTCTCCGAGGTTCACAGTCAGCTACCTTACTTCCATAGCCCAGGCCCACCTGCCTAGGTATGGTGCTGCCCAAAGTAGGCTAGGCTCTCCCACATCTGTTGGCAATCCAGAAAATGCCCCCACAGACATGCACATAGGCCAGTCTGATGGAAGCAGTTCTTCAGTTGAGGGTCCCTGTTCCCAGGTGTGCCAAGTTAACAGCAAGGATGAATCATCACATTCCCCAAGGCAGGCTGCAGAAATCCTCGTTTTCCCCTGCCCTTTTGTCTTGGAGCACAGAGACCCTCGGACCTGCCTTGTCCCACGGTGGGTCATAAGATCCACCTTATTACAGAGAGTTCTTGCCCAATGCCCTGGAGGGAGGAATGCTGCACACACACACACACACACACACACACACACACACACACACACACACACACGATTGAGCGTAGAGGCCGGGAAGCACCTGAGCAGACAGCCCTTGATGCTTCCCAAGTCAGACCATTGCATGAAATAGAGTCTGTGGTGATGTATTGTGCACCCTAATAAATTTGCCTGAGGATCGGAGGACAGAGCCAGCCACTAGATTAGACATAGAGGTCCGGCAGCGGTGGCTCACACCTTTAATCACAGCACCTGAGATCTCATGCCTTTACTTGGGAAACACACACAGCCTTTAATCCCATGAAGTAATATGGTAGGGCAGAGAAAGGTATATAAGGCGTGAGGAAACAGGAACTCACTCTCTGGAGGCTGAGGATTTCGTAGAGGTAAGAGCAAGTGGCTGGCTGTTCTGCTTCTCTGATCTTTCAGCTTTCACCCTGATCTCTGGCTCTGAGTGTTTTATTTTATTTTATTAAAAGACCATCTAAGATGTGAACAACAAGAGTCTGCGTCTGCACAGGAACCAGAAATGTCAGAGTTCACAGAGCTTCCTCGATAGCTCAACACAGAGAAGTTTCTGGAGATTGGGAGTACCTGGAAAGGGCAGGGACGCTTCCTTCCTTCCCCACACCTCTCTTTACTCATTCTCACCTGGATGCTTTGCAGTAGCTTTTGTAACAAATGAATCTTTCCCAGGGAGAGTCTTCCCCTGAGTTCCCTTAGCTGCTTGAGGAGAGGACGTGAGGGTGAGGAGGTGGCTGTGGGAGTCCTGATCTGTGACTGTTGGCCAGGGGGCCGGGCATGACAGCTGGAGTTGTGACAATATCTAACGGGGAGGGGGGGCAGGCAGCCTGGGGGCTGAGCCCCAGCCTGTGGAAATGGAGGCCACCTCTAGATAGAGAGTGTCAGGGCCTCCTTGGTTCAGGGGATGCCCTGCTGGTGGCTACAGCCACAGAGCTGCTTGATGTTGGAGCCACCCACGCCTCTCCAAGGTCACAGGCTCCCTCGGTGACTGAAGTGAGAAAGTGCAGACAGGATGTCGGGTTTTTCCCAACACTCAGGGAGAAATTTTGTGAAAAAAAAAAAAATCAAGATCTCTTGAAAATTAGACTTCTGACTAAGGTGACATGTTAGAAGCCACCCGTGTGTGACTGTGAATGAAAGGTGTCACAGTGACAGAAGGTGGATTTCATTCCAAAGAGGAAGAGAGAGGAGCAGCAGGATTCCTGAGAGAAAGGATGGAGAAAGAAGCTGTACAGGGAAACGGGAATGAGCCTTAGTCCGCGCTCTGGCCCTCCTCCCCCAGAGGGGGCTGCAAAACCTCATGTATGTTTGTTACAAAATTTGCCAAGAGGTCACAAGAGTTGGAGGCTGGGGAGATGGCTCAGCACTTAAGAGCGCATACTGCTCTTGCAGAGGGTCCACGGGTCAGCTCCCGGAATTCATGCTGGGCAGCTCACAGCCACCTGTCACTCTAGCTTTAGGGATCCAGCGCCCTCTTCTGGCCTCCTTGGGCACCTACACACACACACACACACACACACACACACTTAACAAATTAAAATAAGTCTTTAAAAATTATTAGTGTGTGCGCATGGGCACATGTGCCAAGATATGCGTGTAGAGGTCAGAGGACAGTTTTGTGGAGCTGGCTCTCTAGTCCACCTCTATGTAGGCTCCAGAAATAAAACTCAGATCTCTAGGTTTTTTTACGTTTTAAAAGTGTTTGCATTTTTCAACCCCCTTGACCTTTATCTAATGTTATTTAAAAATTGCTCTTTCTTGTTCAGATTTTTATCCCTTGCTCCCTCCTTCTTCCTCATCTTCTTTGCCTTATTTTCTTTTATTTAACCTTCCTTTCTCCCTTTCCTGTCCCCTTCCTTTGTTTCATTCTTTATTGTTATTATGTACATACTTTATTGTCTGCTTTAATCATTTGACGTTCACTGCTTACTCTAGCTACACCATTTTTGCCATTTTCTTTTCTAGGGTTATTGGTGGCGTGGCCGTTTGCTTTAATTGATTTTTCACTGTGTTTCCTTATCTGGTTTGGTGTCGCTGCTGTTGTAGTAGTTCGTTTTCTCTTCTCTGAGTGGTACCTGGGATTAAACCCTCAAAGAGAAAAGCTGGGAAGACTCCAAAATTGGAAGAGACAAATACCCCAACAGATGAGCAAATCACAGCTCAGAAACATAGGAAACGTGAGAAAGCAAAGCATTGTAACTCCTCCAAAAGACCATGCCTCTTCAACTCCTAAATCAAAGATATGGAAATAGTTAATATGCCAAACTATTAATCAAAAAATATTAAGTGTCATCAAAGTGGATTCACACAGGCAGATCAAGAAGTAAGAAGGCACCTGAGAACCTGGGCAGGAAAGTCAGCAACACTGAAGAGGAGTTCAACAAGAAAGCTGAACGTCTGAAAGCAACCAACAAAACACCAGCCGAACAGAAATGCTGGAAACAAAAAACTGAGTGTATCCCATAGAGCACAGTGAAAAGGAAGAACCACCAATAGACTAGGGCAAGTAGTAGAAAAAATATTAGGAATTTAACACGAGGTGGAGGAGGTATTATATTCAGAGAAAATAAAAGGAACAATTAAGTATGGCCACAGCTTGTGGGAATTCTGAGGCACAGCCACAAAACCAAATATGAGAACCGGTGGGTGGGAAAAAGGCCAGGATATGGAAGGCACAAAAAACCTATTCAGTGAGAAATATAGCAGAAAACTCCCAAATCCAGGGAAAGAGAGGGCATCCACGAACAAGAGTAATGTAGAACTCCAAATAACATGCCTAGGAAAGA